CAACTTCAGCAGCTTTAATGGCTGCCTCTTTGCTGCTGGCAAAAAGAGCTTCTCCTGGATCTACCAGGGACTTTGTAGTATCCCTGGGATTGACAGGATGCTCTCTTTACACTCACTGTCTCTTCAGGATGGTTTAGATCTGTTTGGACCATCCAGGAGCAAAGTTATCGGCAGTGATCTCAGACCTCCAAGATCGCATGCTGTGTCATCGCGATGCCAGCTCCGCCCTCCCTAGACTTGAAATTTTAGACCTAGACAACCTAGACTACACCGCCTTCAGTCCGATCTAAATATAGTACATAAAATTACATATTGCAATGTCCTATTTGTCAATTAATACTTCAGCTTCATCCATAATAATAGAAGAGCACACAATAGATCAAAACTCAAGGTAAACTACAGCAAACTTGATTGCAGGAAATATGACTTCAGCAACAGAGTGATCAATGACTGGAATACTCTACCTAACTCTGTGGTTTCTTCTCCAAATCCCAAAAACTTTAACCTTAGACTGTCTGTTAGGGATACACCCTAGCAGAATCTGCACGGCAGTCAGGCAGGCAGGCAAAATATGTGAGATAAACGTTTTTGTAGCTTGCACTCAGTAAAACAGATACACTGTGCTAGTTAAATAGTTTATTCCAGCAAGAGTTTTAGCATAGTCAAAACAGTCCATATATCATTCACTTATTCAGTCCGTCCGGGGATTATTCAGTTGCAAATTCCAGTGTTGAAAAAGAGAGGTCAATAAACTTACAAATATCAGTCCAGTAATATATCTCCTCGCAGTAGAGATATGAAGAAGTCAAAATTCCTCTCTTCCTTCAGCAATCAGCAACTCAGCAGTTAGGGAAACATGCAGTTAACCAACCATCAATCCATGCAATCCAGTCAGGAATCGTCAGCAATCAACAGTTTCTCTTGCTCCCTCTTATGGCGATTTCACACCGCACCCAAAATTACATGCTTTGCAGTTTAAAGTGACACACACTTAAACTTACTATCATAGTTTATATGTATTATTTTACCCAAACTATGTTAGGTAACCTTGTTATACCTAACACTGTCTACTATTGTCCTCACCCCTTTCCTAAGAGGTCTATAGAGGGTGCGTTTAAGAGCACCAATGTGTCTACCATCCCTGGCCTACTGGGTCCATTTATATTAATTGTAATCAGTTTTTTCTCTTCCATGGTTATACTTTATAAGTAGGTTTTGCAGCCCTTGTAGATCTTGGTTCGCATTGTTCTCTGACTTCTACCTTTCCACCAACAGCACCTTCTTCTTTTTCAATCACTGCTTGACAGTCATCTTGGAATTCGATTAGTGACATTTCTTTTTCCATCTCCTCCTCTTTCCCTCCAAAGTATTCTGTATAAAATAATTCTGCTTTCTCAATTGAGTCAATTCTGTGTCTTTGTTCCTGCCATGTAAACATTAAGCCTTCTGGTATCAGCCATCTTTAATTCACCTCTTTTTTGAGTAGTATTTTAGTCAAGAATCGATACTCTTCTCATCTCTCTCACTCTTCTGGGTACTGGTTTTGTTGCAGCAATCACGCTTTCAATGCAGAACAAGAGACCACGAGAGATGGAAGAATACAGGTTTATTTGCGCAAAGCGTTCAGAGCATTAACATGACAAATTCTGAACCCCCCCCCTACATACTGGGGTTAGTTCCTTTATACCTTATGATGATTCCAGCCCAAGCCTGGGCGTTCATCTATGACCTATTTACCAAATATGGATTTTATGCTTACAAAATACATAAAAACATATTTTCCTGGGAACAGAACATAACAAAGAGGATGTGGTAAAGAAGACAGGATGTTTGTAAGTATATGTTATCTTTTACCGTTATCTTACACCTTCAGATGTTCTTCCATGACCTTTCCTTGTTTGCAGCTTTCTTGTTCTCAACTTTAGGTACATCGTTACTTCCTCTAAATATATTTCTTAATTATTCAGCGTAATACAGACAGAGCTGCTTTCTGTCCTTATGACTTATATATCAGATAGTTATAATATAGATAGTTATAGTATGCCCAGGATCTAGCTAACTTATATAAAATGGATCCCTTTTCTGGTCCTTCTTCATTCCCCCCTTTGAAACTTCACCTAAATCGAAAGATTAATGTGTAGTTTCATTTTCCCGGGAAGGAGGACATAGTGGAAGGAGCTCCTCGTAGATACCGATAGGCTCCCGTACCAAGAGGGCCATTACCTTTTCAGTAGTTGTCTTTTCAACTAACAACGAGACAGAGCTAGAGATAGTACGTATTAAGAGGGGTATTACACATGGCAAGATGACACAAGCCCCAACCAGGATTCCTACAAAGACAATGATGGCTTGAAAGCCTGGCAATTTTGGAAACCAGGAGCCAAACAGTTCTCCAAGATTGAATCCCTTCCATTTTTGGACGGGGACATGGGCCAATGCTTGCATTCGCCTGATGCTTTGTTCAACAATTTCACCAACATCGTCAAACTCAAGGCAGCAATTGGAGAAATTAAATTTCCCACATACCCCACCTTCTGTTGCCAGGAGATAATCCAGGGCCAATCGGTTCTGGTAAATGGCATCCCTGAATTTCCTCTGTTGAGTGGCTAGGGTATGTAAAGCGTGGGCAGATTCATTCGTTAACAACTCGAGAACCGCCTGCAATCTAATGATGTGGTTGAGCATATATATAGGGGTGCGATAGCCCCAAGACCCATCTTCTGCCCAGAAAGCAGGGTCGTAATATTGGACGACCCTCTCAGGCGGCCACTCATCGTCCTTCCAATTACCTATTTTGTAATCAGCCTGCAATTTTCTGCTGCGCCAGAGATCAGCATTAACAGTTTGGGTTACGTCTAATGGCATCATGAAGAAAGAAGGGTTTATAACTCCTAAAGTACAAGCATCTCTCCAATTGGAGGGAAGAGAGCTATAGGCCACTTCACCGCATATCCAATGTACCCCAGGGGGAGCCTCAGTGACATTTTCTAAAGAAATGTGATCTGCCCAAAAATGGTTGGTGTTGTTAGGCCAATAGTTCCAAGATCTCGTGGCAAGATTCCACTTATGGACCTCTAAACAATCTGTTTCCCCTATCAGGGGGCCTTCCCTTTCTGTATTGGCCAGATACCAATGAGCAACAATGGGATTAGATAATTCCCAGCGTGAATGGGATTGGTGTGGGGGCATTGCTGTGAGGTTATATGGTATGGAATAATTCCATTCTTGAGCCGCCCATGGCCACTGATCGCCTATCTTAGTTCCCCCACAAATGTAGCAATTTGTAACATTAAATGTATGAGCTATTGTGGAAGCTAGCTCTAGAAAAAGATTACGTGCATCTTGCGAAGGCTGAAATTCTATTTCGACCTCCTGCCAGAATTCAGAGAAATACCTTGAGTGCGATTTAGTGGCATATTGTCGAGTCTCAACCGACAGGTGGATAATGCCTCCTGGATCAGTCCCTTTCGCATACATCCGGATCCCCAATGTCGGGCCGTATCTTTGTATAAGTATTTGGGGATTGGGAATTGTGATGTTTACCCAATTACAATTGTAAAGTGTACAGTCATCGGATTGGAGGGCCCGTGAGATAGAGATGGTTGTTCCCTTACCTGAATCTGTATAGGTGGCCCAGAGAACACATCCCCAATAAGGGCAGAACCTTTCGCCTACATTGCTACTACAGTCCCACTTGCCACTATTGCCAGGGTGTTTGTATGGACAAATGTAAATGTCTGATTCGGAGTATGTTCTATGCCATGATAGAGAGGTCCCACAGGAGGTGGGCCACTGGGCTATCTTACAGATATCAAACAATTTAGTAGCAGGACTACTTGGCGTGCGGATCCTTGTCTGGGCAATTATAGGACCATTTTGATCTCCCTGACTTCTAACGACCAACCATGTCTGGGCTGGTTGTACCCTTGGATCATAACATTCATTTTTATAGGGGCAAACAGAATACCAAGTATCACTGTAGCAACATGGAATGGGGGTACTTGAACATCTATAATGGGTATGGTATACCAGGGTAGTTCGGATTTCCCTTCCCCTCAACACTGTTTTCAAACACATCGTGCAATTATTGGGGCAAAGAGGGGTATGGGATGGTTTAGGGAGGATCACTCCCACCTTCTTATTCTGGCCTCGATGGCCAGGGAACCTGGGGTTCTTTGGTGGTGGCTGGGTTTGATGTTCCCTAGGATTCTTCCAAAATGGGGTAGGCACTGCTTTGTCATTTACATAACAGACCAGACCCTGCTTTCCCCGACAACGATTGACAAATATCTCAACCCTCATTACCCCTGTACATTTAGTACCATTACAAGAGGTCGGAGGAGACCATGTGGTATGTTTACATTGTGGCAGGGTGAAGTCTGTGCACATTGTGGGCTTTCCTACCCTATAGTTAAGACCCCCCTTTCCATCCTTACATTCCACATGGGTATCACACTTCTGATCTTTATGGAGTGGTTCCCAACCAAGGGGGGAATTTAGGGTACGGGGTACCCGATTGTGGCAGACAGGAACCCATGGGGAACGGAGAAAATAACATCTTATTGTTCCATTTTGTACACATTGCCAATATCGTGTCCCTTGGTATTCACATTGTGGGAAACTTGTGATATGGCAGCCTGGGGGCCTAGTATTGATAAATGTAAAGTGTCTCCCGGTATTACGAACCAGGAAGCAATCAATACATTGTTCCGTTTCCCTGGGGTTTATAACTGGAGGAGGGTCATCATAAAAAGGGCCAGGGGAGTACCATTCTTCCAACTGCTCTTCCTCTAGGGGTAAGGGTTCATCCAGGGTCGCTTTTCCTTTTATCAGTGTTGAATAAAGATACAATGAATTAATCACAACACTTAACACCAGTAACATGGTTACAACCCAGACAGATGGCATAAGGCCCCTTCGGATGCAAGCAGTTTCCCTTAGCCTTTGACTGGGCTCCATTTCTTACTATTCCCCCCTTCCCTTCTTCCTAACTCCCCGTATTAGGGAAGCCTGGCGCGAGACCTAAGCCACCAGGGAAGACCCTCCGAAATAGGAGTAGCGGGAATCTGGTAGTCTTCAACTCCCGTAGGTAGAGGGACAGCTTCCGGAGTGTCACCACTAGGGGAGGGCAGTTCCTCTTCATCTCCCGTAGGTAGAGGGACAGCTTCTGGAGTGTCACCACTAGGGGAGAAAGTCCTCTTCACTTTTTTTAAAGTCAACCTGAGTGGAACATCAGGTTGAGATTCGACTTTCCAACAGGCAGGTGCGGCTAATTTAACCCGAGACCAATGAATCCACGATTTAATCTCCGCTACCTTAACAGCAAGGGGAGAACACATGACTACAGTATAGGGGCCCTTCCATTTGGGAGACAATGTTTCCCACTTCCAGTCCTTAACCCAGACCTCCTGCCCTGGACGTATGTTATGCGGGGAGGTTACCAAAACCTGAGGTTTACACGTTAACACATAGTCTTGTAAGTTATGGATAATTTCGTTAAGGGCCTTGAGTTGTCGTAACCTAATAACATCAGATACATCTGTGGTAGCATGCATATCAAACCTAACCAAGTTAGGGACTCGGCCATACAATAACTCAAAAGGGGAGACCGTAATATCCTTGCGTGGTGCACAACGTATCACCACCAGAGCTAGGGTCAGGGCATCAGTCCATTTGAGATGTGTTTCCTGGCATATCTTTGCCAGCTTGTCTTTAATTGTCCGATTGATTCTTTCCACACGACCCCCCGAAGGAGGGTGGAAACTACAGTGTAACTTCCATGTAATGCCTAGTACCTTCGCTAGCTGTTGCGTTGCCTTGTGAATAAACTCCGGACCATTGTCTGAGGAAATCCAGGAGGGTAACCCATACCTTGGTATTACAATATGAAGTAATGCTCGAGCGACTTCGGTGGCCTTCTTTGTGCGAGTAGGTACACATTCTGGCCAGCCCGTGTATGTGCATACAATAACCAGTAGTGCATTGTAAGGGCCACAACGAGGCATGTCGGTAAAGTCAACCATCAAAGAGTCAAAGGGGTAACAGCCTCGGGGTTGGTGGCCCATTGGTGGCTGCGGGCCTTGCCTGGGGTTATTAGCCGCACATATTTCGCAACGCGCACATACATTGGCTGCTATGCTGCTAACTTTATCTATATATACCTCCCTCCTGAGTGCCTTCGTCAGGGCGGTCTTACCTAAGTGCAATTGCTGATGTAGCTGACGTACAATGTCCCAGGCCAGATGAGCGGGAATATACACCCTATTATCTGGTAAGACCCACCACTGACCTTCTTGGTGTGCCTCGAGTGCTTCTAGCCGGTCCCTATCCTCCTCCGAGTAATGGGGTTGGGGTTGAGCATCGGGCACCCATACGGCAAGGTGCCTTTCTAGGGGGACGAAGTCTAGTAGGGCTGCTTCACGTGCTGCTTTGTCTGCTCTCTCATTCCCCCTTTGTACATCTGTTACCACCTTCTGGTGGCCTCGACAGTGCATGACTGCTACCTTACTCGGAGCCCACACACTGTCTAGGAGGCGCAATATCTGGGGGCCGTACTTTATTTCTTTTCCCCCTGCAGTTATTAGTCCTCTCTCTTTATATAGAGCCCCATGGACCTGGACTGTGAGGAAAGCGTATTTAGAATCCGTGTATATATTTACTGCCAGCCCCTGTGCCAGCTCTAGAGCCCGAGTGAGGGCATGTAACTCGGCTAATTGAGCACTAGTTCCGGGAGGGAGTGGCTTTGCTTCCCAGACTTCATCCAGTGTGACTACCGCATATCCCGCTTTCCTCACTCCCTCTTGTAAGTAGCTGGTGCCATCAGTAAACAGAGTGTAATCTGGGGAAGGAAGGGGTACATCCTTCATGTCAGGACGACTAGCATAGGTTTCTTCAATAGTCTGGACACAATTGTGTTCTACTGTTGTTTCAGGCTCAGGTAATAATGTGGCTGGGTTTAATGTAGTAGACTGGGCGAGGGTAATCATAGGGTTATGGGTCAGAAGGCCTTGGTATTTAAGCATCCGGGGATTAGTTAACCACAAGTGGCCTTTCATCTCTAGAACTGACTTAAGGGCATGCGGTGTGTATATATATATGCAATTGTTGACCAAAGGTTAGCTTATTTGCCTCCTGAGTCAAGATTGCTGTACCAGCCACTGCTTTAAGGCAAGTTGGCCACCCCTTGGCTACATTATCTAGTTGTTTGGAAAGATATGCTACCGGCCGGTGCCATGTCCCCATTATCTGGGTGAGGACGCCTACTGCGACATTTCGCTTAGTGTCAACAAACAGCTGAAACGGTTTTTCCAAATCCGGGAGACCTAAACTGGGAGCTTGAAGGAGGGCTTGTTTAAGGGATTGAAAACTAGCTTCTTCCTCTTTGCTCCAAGAGAGTGGGTCACTTTCTGCCCCTTTCGTAGCTTCATAGAGAGGTTTTGCAATTAGGCTAAAGTTGGGAATCCAGATGCGGCAGAAACCAACTGCGCCCAGAAACCCTCGTAATTCTCTCCTGTTAGTTGGAACATGAAGTTGACATATGACCTCCTTCCGCTCATGGCCCAATGTCCTCTTCCCTTGCTCAATGTCATAACCCAGATACCTGACCTTTTGCTGAACCAACTGTGCTTTCTTTTTAGAGGCCTTATAACCTAAATCTTGCAAGAGTGAAAGTAAATCAGCTGTATTTTGCCAACAAGCGTCCTTGGTGTATCCTGTTACTAACAAATCATCCACATATTGTAAGACCACATCTGGGGCTGGTAGGTGTAAAGCCTCCAGATCCCTGGCCAGAGCTGCACCGAAAAGTGTAGGTGAATTTTTAAATCCTTGAGGCAGCCTGGTCCAGGTATATTGCTGCTTCCTACCAGTGTTAGGGTTTTCCCACTCAAAAGCAAATAAATGCTGGCTTTTCTCATGTATGGGGATGGTGAAGAAAGCGTCCTTCAAGTCTATAACAGAAAACCACTGGGCCTCCCGAGGGATGAGTCCCAATATGACATAGGGGTTGGGAACCACTGGATGGATTGTTACAGTGGCTAGGTTTACAGGCCTCAAATCCTGAACAGGGCGAAAACGACTGTCCCCCTTTGGAATTGGTAATATGGGGGTGTTCCAGGGTGACTCAGTGGGTACCAGGATGTGATGTTCTAAATATAAATCAATAATATCCTGGATAGCTTGCATGATGTGGTGAGGATATGCCCTCTGTCTGATTCTCACAGGCACTTTCAGTGGCATTTCCTCAATTAGAATGGGTGGATGGTGTGCTGCAAAACCAGGGGGGTTATCTTCCGCCCACAAATAGGGAACTTTAAACTGCCTCCAGGCATCCTTGTCAGCACACCCAAACTCCCTAGCCACCATAAGCCGCCAAGACTCTTCCAAAGGTACAGACAGGGTTACTTTTCCGTACCCCAGGTTCATGGAACCGTCCTCATTAAAGGATAATTGTGCCCTCATTTTGCAGAGCATGTCCCTCCCTAACAATGGGACAGGGCAGTCAGGCATATAGACAAACTGGTGTGTTATAGCCTGTCCTTTTAGGGTGCATTCAAGGGGCTCCAGAAAGGGACGTTGTAAAGTTGTCCCTGTTGCTCCCTGAATATTAATAGTTTCACGGGATGCCTGAGCTAAGGGTTGGGTTAAAACCGATCGGGTAGCTCCGGTATCCACTAAAAATGTAACTGGCTTGCCTCCAACATTTAATCTGACCATAGGTTCAGGGAGGCTTACTGAACCCGGTCGGCCTCAGTCCCATTCCTCTGCTTGGGCCAAGCCTACCAGAGGGGGTCCGCCCAACCCCTGTCTAGTTTCTGTTTGTCCTCTACCCCTCTGGGTCGACCTTCTCTGGCCATCTTCCACCACAAAACTGAGGCTTCGTGGGGGTCCTCCCCTGTTTCTGGGTAATTCACGTTCGGGACATTCACCTTTCCAATGTCCATGTTTCTTACATAAGGCACATTGGTTATGGCCGAGTTCCCATCTTCCCCCTTTCTCCCGACTGTTGCCCCGGCCTCTTTGTGGGCCGGACCCCGCGCCACGTGGATTAGTCCGTCCTCGTGGTGCCCACATCATGGCTGCTGCCATTAGTTCATCCTTACGTTGAATTTTCTGATCTTTATTCCTGTCCTCCTCTTTATCCCTATTTGCAAAAACTTTTCGAGCTATCTCCATTAATTCGCTTATAGGCTTTCCCAGGGCTCCCTCCAATCATTGTAATTTTCACCTTATGTCCGGAGCACTCTGGGAGATGAACGCCATAGTTAACATTCTGGCGTTTTCAGGGACTGTGGGATCTATTGGGGTATACATGCGATAGGAATCTATGAGACGGGTATAGAATGCCTCCGGGCTTTCAGTGGGTTCTTGCAACACCAGGGAGGGTTTTGACATATTAATAACAGGCTTCCCCGCAAGGCGTATTGCTCGCACCACTAAAGCTTGATAATCCCTCAGTCTATCCTTCCCATCATCCCGGTACATATCTCATTCTGGGTTACTGGAGGGGTATTTTTCTCTCAAAAGATCCTCCATAGAGTGGTATAACCGCACATCAGGTTTTAATATCTCAGTCACTGCATTCTTAATTTTCTCCCTTTCCTCCGGGCTAAAAAGTGTCCCCAATAATTGTTGAATATCTAGCCAGTTGGGGTTATGCGCATCCATTATAGTCTTAACTAGATCTGCCACCTCTGTGGGCTTCTCACTGAATGGGCCATAGTGAAGTTTCCAATTCAGCAGATCTGAAGAAGTGAACGGTACATGTTGGAATAAAGACAGGGTGACCGATTCAGATGGATCTTTTGGGTTAATTGCCAACTGATCCACTTGTCTCAAGGGGGCTGTCAGGGAAGCCTGTTCTGTTTTTGCCCGAGTTCTGGCCACGACCGGTTCGGTCATGGCAGATGTTCCCGGCACTGAGGTGGATGGAGTGGGGTCCACGGACCCTTCCTTTGGGGTGGATGTTGAAGGCTGCGATCTATCCACCTGGACCGATCGATCCATTGCCTCCGACCTTGGGGGACTTTTTAGGTATGGAGATAGTCGATCTAATCGTGCCATAAAATCTGATACCCCTGCCTGTTCCTCTCCCTCCGACCCTTCTTCGAAACCTCCCGGTGGTACATAAGGGGGGGGGGGGTGAGGAACTTCCTCGGGACAACTAGGTAGCACTTGTACAGATTTCTGTAATTTTTTAAGGGTAACCTGTCATGATAGCAGGGCTTTGCACCGTTGCATTTTAAGTCGTCGTAGCCAAGGGGGTGGATGGTTCAATAAATCCAGCCACACGTCTATATATGGACCCTGGTCTGGGTAACCTAACATTGGGTGGAAGACCCTACGATGTACTTGCACGGCAGTGGGGATATCAAGTGTACCCACCGGGGGCCACCCAATCCCAAGGGTGGGCCATTCAATCTCGCAAAATTTTCACAATTTCTGCCTATCCCATTTGCACCCATATTCCTGAGATTGGTAAGCCTCCTTGAAATGTTTCATCATAACCTCCAGAGGGGTTACCTCTTTACTTTGTCTACCACCCATAATCCTCCCACATAAACAAACAAGAGAGAGAGGAGAGGGAGTTGAAGAAGAGGGTAAGGGGTCCCACTTTCTTCAAACACAGCAGGGGATTTTTCACACGGACACCCACTAACTCACGCCCGACCCAGGGAGCCGGATATTCACGGTCTCCGATGGGAACTGCGGACGCCACTCGCTTTCTACTGACCCACGGTGCTGGAGGCTCACAGTCACCAATGGGAACTGCACTAGGCTTTCTCTCTTCTCCAATCAGATTTGACAAGTCCACCCAACTTACCTGTTAAGAGAGGGTGATCAGTCCTCTCCTCCGTCCCTGCTTACAGGGAGGGATTATATTTCCCATCCAATACTTGCCTGCAGGCATCTTCTCCTTTTTTTTTCTCTGCTGGCCAGCCCCAGTCCTGTTCTTCTCACCTCTCACCAGTGGTTCTTGGGACCGTCAATCGCCGACAGCAGCAGTCAGCCGTCTGGGGAAGTCCCTCGGATTCAAGGGTCCGATGGCGCCTGGGATGTTCCCTCCAACTCACCGATCCACTGACTGTTGGGATGGACCACCCAGAGGGCCTCAGGGCCCCTCTAGTCCCAGCGGAGTCGCCAGTAAAATGTTGCAGCAATCACGCTTTCAACGCAGAACAAGAGACCACGAGAGATGGAAAAATACAGGTTTATTTGCGCAAAGCGTTCAGAGCATTAACATGACAAATTCTGAACCCCCCCCCCCTACATACTGGGGTTAGTTCCTTTATACCTTATGATGATTCCAGCCCAAGCCTGGGTGTTCATCTATGACCTATTTACCAAATATGGATTTTATGCTTACAAAATACATAAAAACATATTTTCCTGGGAACAGAACATAACAAAGAGGATGTGGTAAAGAAGACAGGATGTTTGTAAGTATATGTTATCTTTTACCGTTATCTTACACCTTCAGATGTTCTTCCATGACCTTTCCTTGTTTGCAGCTTCCTTGTTCTCAACTTTAGGTACATCGTTACTTCCTCTAAATATATTTCTTAATTATTCAGCGTAATACAGACAGAGCTGCTTTCTGTCCTTATGACTTATATATCAGATAGTTATAATATAGATAGTTATAGTATGCCCAGGATCTAGCTAACTTATATAAAATGGATCCCTTTTCTGGTCCTTCTTCAGTTTCAGGACTACAATCTCCTTATCTTTGTATTTCAATGTTTTCTCTCTTGCTACCTGTAGTATTTGCATTTTAATAGCTTTCTTTGTGAATCTAATGTGAACTTCTCTTGGCAAACTATTTCTCATTGCATATCTTGTGAAAACTCAAAAAATCTCATTTATTCCATCCATCATCTTCTCTTTAGTTATTTTCAAAGCCTCAGCCAAGATTTCTATCATTATCTCTGCCAAGTTTTGTCCCTTTTCTTCCTCTATATTTTGGAATCTAAGATAAAATTCTGATCTGTCAATCTCCCATCCCAGAATCCCAGTCTTATCTTGTTCAACCACTGTTAATCTACCATCCATCTCTCCAATCTTCTTATCTCTTTGTTTATCTTATTCTTCAATTTTTTGTAGTCTTTTATCATACTTCATCATTTGTTGAATGTTCTCCACCTTTTCATCAGTTTTTCCTGTTCTTTGTTCAATGTTCTCTGTTCTTGCTTGTATGTTTTGAATTCCTTGCATAATCATCTGTAGGGTCACCATTCCCTGTTCTTAAGCAAATTCCAAGAAAAGTGAGGGCCATAAGGCAAGAATATAAATTTTTAGCCAATTACTTAAATAAAAAAGAAATTTCATTCAAATGGCTAATCCCAGAAGGGATGTTAATATCGTGGAAGGGAAGAAAAATTAAAATAGATTCAATAGAACAAGCACAAGACTTCCTAGAACAGCTAACAACTACGGAGGATCAACACACTAGGGAGGAAACCCAAAGGAACATGCAGGAAGACCATAACCGCCATAGGAACAAAGAAGAAAGACCTGTTCAAATCCAAGGGAAAGACAACTCACAACAGGAAAGAAAAGAAACAACCCCATATCAACCACAAGAAGAGAGCCATATAGTTACAAGACAAAAAGCAAAGCAGACTTAGGTAAATGGAGGAAGGAAGGAAAATTCTTTCCATCAATATAAACGGTTTAAATTCAAGACCTAAAAGGAAAAGGATTCTAACTAAACTAATAAAACAAAATGTTGATATAATTTGCATACAAGAAACACACATTAGGAAAAATGAGGAGAAATTTTTAGATTGTCCGAAACTGGGAAAATTATTTACAGCACCAGCAGATAAGCACAAAAAGAAAGGTATTGCAATATATGTGAGAGATGACTTAAAAGTGGAATTAATTTGGGCAGACCCTGAAGGAAGAACTCTGGTAGTACAAATTTCGATTAATTGTATTACACTTTTACTGGTAGTAATCTATGCCCCAAACGATGATCAAGGTAAATTTTTCAAACATCTCCACCAAAAAATAATAGGCTTCGAAAAAGGCAATATTTGTTTGATTGGCGATTTTAACTCTATTGCTGACTATTGGAAAGATCATAGTAACACGAGTAAGAATAAAAAAGGAAAAAGAGAATTTTCGAAGCCATGTAAGGATATGATGAACAAACTGAATCTGGTAGATATCTGGAGAAAATTAAACCCCCCAAAAGAACAGTTTACTTATTATTCTAACCCACATAAAATCTGGACAAGAATAGATATGGCTTGGATAAACAACCCAATTCAAATAACTTGGAGAGGTAGAAGAAAACCAAAGAAAAGATGGGCACTTAACACCCACTTAATAAAAGAAGGAGAATACATTAACAAATTGAAAGAAGAATTCAACTTTTTTTTAAAGGAAAACAATAATGAATTAACTTCGAAACAAAATATATGGGACACAATGAAGGCAATTATAAGAGGAACAACAATTTCTTACAATGCTATGAGAAATAAAAGGAAGTATGCCCAACAAAGTAACTTACAACAAGAAATTTAAGATTTAGAAACCCAACCACAAAAGAACCCCCACAACCAAAGAATACAGAACCAGTTAATAACAACTAAACTAAACACAAACAGAATTTACTGGAACAAGAAAAATTGGAGATAAGTCTGAAAATGACTAAACAAATCTATTTTGAGCATGCAAACAAGCCAGGGAGATGGTTAGCCCACAAACTC